GATAGGATTTTTTAATATCAAATTTATAGGAATAAATAGTGTGATATACAGGAGGATGTAGTTGAAATATCATTGTGACATTGGAAATATCTTGGCAGTAATACTCTGGATGTGTCTCGGTGTAATATTCTGGGTGTAATCTGTGAGTAAGCAAGTATGTTTCCTTGAATTTGGACTTGCAGCGGATAGGTAAGAATTCTCTTAGATGAAGTGCTGTGGTTTGGGGGCTGACCTGTCAAAGCTGATTTCTGTCTGTACCTTGCCTATGTGGCTTAGGATACAGAACAAAGAGAAATCTGGTTTGGTGACCTTGAACTGCAGTGCTGTATGGTGACAACACAGATTGGCAAGGGAGCTCCATGTTTGCCGCCCACCCTCTAATAGGCACAGCTGCCAGTGCCGCAGGAAACAAGTGCTGATTTCTTCCCTTCCAGCTAGCTGCAGTTCTGGGGGCAAGATGCTCCCCTCTAGGGCTCTCTGCAGTACTCCACAGCAGAGCTGGAAGCTCTGCCCAGAAGCCAGCTCATCTGCTTTGGCTTTGAAAGCCCGACTGATGTACCCCAGTGGCAGAGATGGGACAGTTGTGGAACATCTACCCTCCTGAAAGCTGTGGTGGAATGATGCCAGAATTATGTCACTAAAACCCCACGTCAAGGTGGGAGAGTGATTGAGAACACCCAGAAGGTGCAGGGACCCCACATAGCAGATTCTAGGAAGGAAGTGCCTCTCAGTTAGGATGAGCCTCCCACGTGTTTGGGCTGCTGCTGTCAATGTACTATTCACTTTGATTTAGCCTCAATTAAAAGCAGGTTATTTCACCTTAGAGACTATCAAATGAGTTTGCCATAAAGCATGTTTGTGACCCAGTGAAGGCAGAGATGGAAACTTTCCCCAAAACCATAGGAGCATACGTGACATTCTGCTGATGCTTAGTGGTAAACAAAGTAAGTGGAAAGGTGGCCTCTTTCATTTTCTGGAAATGTTTTCACTGCTATGCAGCAAAGTACCATCTTCTTACCAACTTCTGGAAGTAGTTTGTCAAGACCTGGGGATACCATCAGAGGTGTAGGCTGAGGGCCTGTGTGCTGCCCACGTGAAATGGGGAGCATGGGATGTTGAGAGTGGGTAGGAGGAAAAAATAGGAAGTTATTCTCCTTAGAATTTCCCAGTTTGGAGTTACAAGTACCTATTGTCCCAAATGTCTTACGTTGCCCTTGAAGCAAAGCTTGGGGATTTGAGTACAGGGAGTTTATTTGAGAAGTATCCTGGTAAGGAGGAATGAAATGTGGAAAGAGAAAGACAAGGAAGGAGGAGAAGCCAATATAAGAAACCAGGAGTGGTGGCACATGCCTGTAATTCCAGCTATTCAGGTTGCAGAGACAGGGAGCTCATAAGTTGAAGCCTAGCCTGGGCAACTTAGACTCCTGTCTCAAAAAATGAAGAGCTAGGGACATATAGCTCAGTGAGAGAACACCCCTGGGTTCAACCCCCAGCCCTGGGAGAAAAAAAATTGATTTTTTTGTTGTTGTTATTTGTTGATTGTTTTTTTGAGATAGGGTCTCACCATGTGTTCCAGGCTGACCTTGAACTCATTATGTAAGCCCAGGCTGGCCTCAAACTCTTACTCTCTTATTTTGGCCTCCCAAGTGCTGGGATTACAGGCATTACCACCACAACCAGTTCTAACAAGGTTTTGGGTTTGGGAGGGGCGTATTTTGAGGGTGATTTTTCAAGTCTACAAGCTGGGATTGAATTTGCAATCCCTTCTGCCTCAAGCTCCCAGTGTGTTGGGATTATAGGCTTGTGCCACAACACCCAAATTTTTGTTTTGTTTTTGTTTTTTGAGACAGGGTCTCACTATGTAGTTGAGACTGACCTGGAACTCACTATGTAGCCCAGGCTGGTCTCAAACTCACAGCGATCCTCCTGCCTCAGCCTCCTGAGTGCTGGGATTACAGGCGTGCGCCACCACGCCTGGCTCACAACACCCGATTTAAAAAGTATATTTTCAAGGCCATGAGGGGTTAGTTCTACCAGAACTTCTGAAAACCATTCAAACTCCCAGAATTGCCTGTGTGACGACAGGGGCTTGCCAGTTAGCCACCAGCCCGACAGAAGTAGACATAATGGCACAAACTCCACCATTTCTCCAGTGCTTTTAGCATGCACACAGAGGAAACCCTGCCATCAGAAAAGGTCTGCCTCCAGTTATGTACTTTTGGCATGTCATTAACAATGTGTCTGAGCTTTCTTGGAACTGTCCAGGGCAGTTGCAGCTGAATGAGAGTCCCTAAGCATCCACTGCAGAAAGTGCCATCATAGGAAAAGAAACAGGTATGATGGCAACAACACTGGGGTACCTAGTCCTGAGACCAGAAAGAACTCAGGAAGGCGTTCTAGAGGAACGTTTTCTAAGCTAAGACTAGATGAATAAAAGGCAGGTGAAGGTGAATGGCAGGTTTAGGGCTGTGTGGAGCACAGATGACAAAGGTAGATCTGGCAAGTGACAGGAAGAACTTCTCAAGTTAAGGACTTCAGGCTTTATTGTAAGAGCAAAGAGCAGTAAGGGGTCATAGAACAGACATTAAGCAGAAATCTGCTCTAAATACAGCATGTCAGTAGATGCCAGGGTTCAGCTGTTTAGAGAAGGGCTAATTCAGGGAGACCAGTGTAGGGGCTGTTAAACTACCCAGGTGAAAGAATAATGAGAACCGAACAGTAGTAATGAGGAAGGTAGAAAGTGAAAGATTTGATGCATATTAAATTTCCGCGTCCCCACTCATGCTCTACTCATGATAAAAGTTCGTGTGTGTGTGTTTCGATAGATTGTTACAAGGAATGGGTCATCTAGAAAGGAATGTCTAGAAGATGCGAACTGAAAGCCCAGACAGAGAAATTTGGAGTCATGATGTCAAGATGTCTCAACCAGCTTCTTCTCATCTTGAAGTGTACCTCACTGAGAGTCCAGAGAGACTTCCCTTTGTCCTGCATTTTCTATTGGTTTGACCTTTGTTATATTGTTTAGCCTTCCTGAACTTTTGTTTATTTGTCTAAGTGAGTTCAAGGATGATGGTGGCTGTCTGGCTATCAAAGTGGATCTTCCTCTTAGTGTGACCTTGACAGGGCAGCTAACTTCCTCTGAGCCAGTGGTAATAGATGAAAATGTTTAGGGCAGTTTGGCTGCCAGAGTTGTGTGTTTAGTATGGACACTGACCCGTTGGCTCAGCGCAGGGCACAGGGTTTCCAAATGGATTAGGTGGCCATGTTGAAGGTGCTCCCCTTCCAGCTCAGAGCCTGTGGTCTTTTGCCTCAGGCTGTAGTGAGAGTTTGGTGAGATGTGGCTATGAAAACACCCAGAAAACCAGCATTGGGGGGAAAAACAGCATTAGAATGTTAGCTCATATTTTTTTATTTTTTATTATTATTTATTTGTTTGTTTATTTATGGTTGGTTGGTTTATTTTGAGACAGGGTCTCACTATGTAGTTGAGGCTGACCTGGAACTCACTATGTAGCCCAGGCTGGTCTCAAACTCATTGCAATTCTCCTGCCTCAGCCTCCCGAGTGCTGGGATTACAGGCGTGCACCACCACACCCAGCCATAGCTCATAGTTTTTAAATGTTTTAACTCCCTTGTATATTTCCACAAGGCAGAAAATAGCTTCCATTTTCCTATAAGCTGATAGATAACTTGTTTTACTTTCATAAAAGACCAAAAGCCATGTTACTTCCATAGTTTTTTTCACTCATACTACTTTCTTAGAACTAGCAGCTTTCTGTTTTTCTTATTTTATCTCATGTGTGTAACATTAACTGGAAACATTTGACCTGCCAAGACTTGAGTTTGGGCATATGGGGTTTTTCCCGCAGCCCATGATAGCATCACTAGCAAGTAAAGCACAGGCTGTACATTCCCTGCTTTCAAGGCGAGGAATGTTCTCTACCTCCTGGGAAAAAACAGGCTCCGACTCACAGGAGTTGAAAGGCAACTGATTTTTGAGCCCTTTTATGGTACCTTGACTTCTTGCTCATCAGTGCTGGGAACTGGTTCTTACTCTGAAAAGAACTCCCTGGAGCTTCATAACATGATGACAGTGACTCAGAGTGGCCAGCACTTATGGCACCTTGACCTTGTGCTGAGTGTTGTTTTAGTCCTTTGTGTAGAAGATAGGCCACAGCTTATGAGCAAACATTTCACTTTGTGGATTGGATTGGGAAACCAAGGTACATGCACTTACATAGCCTCCAGTCACTCAGGCAGAACTGGAATTTGCCCTGGTTGTGTGACTCCCAAAGCCTTGCCTGAGTTCTCCACTGTCCTTCCTCCCTGCAAGCAGAGACCTGCCACACAGCACTCAGAAGTCCGAAGGGGATAGTGTTTCCTGTCTGCAGTGCAGCACAGCAGAGACATCAGGCAGGAAAAGTGAATTAGAATTCTGTGCTAATATCCAGGCACAGTGGTGCATGCCTGTAATCCCAGTTACTCAGAAAACTAAGGCAGAAGGATTGCAAGTTTGAGGCCAGCTTGAACAACTTAATGAGATCCTATCTCAAAAATTTTTTTAAACCAGACATGGTAGCGCACACCTGTGATCCCAGCACTCGGGGGGCTGAGTGAGGCAGGAGGATCTCTGTGAGTTCGAGACTAGCCTGGTCTACGTAGTGAGTACCAGGTCGATCTCAAATACATAGTGAAACCCTGTCTCAAAAAACAAAAAAAAAATTTTTTTTTAAAGGGGGAAAGGGAGCTGTGATATAGCTTAGTGGCTAAGAACTTGCCTGTCATCCCCACAGCCCCGGGTATGTTCCCCACCACCAGAAAAAAAAAGAAAAAATTTTCTCTGCTTACAGTGTTCTCCACACTGAGAAAGAAACACACTAGATATGAACATGACTTCTGTTAAGGTAAATGGCTTCTACCCAGGGAATCCTATGCCCTTCACAAAAACTGTTATTCAAGAGACCAGAGTTTTTCATATTTCATGTTTTCTCTTTCCTTAGGGTAAAAAGGTCAAGTGGCATGAGCAGCCTTTTGGGGAAAATTGGAGCCAAGAAACAGAAAATGAGCACCCTTGAGAAGTCCAAATTGGACTGGGAGAGTTTCAAGGAGGAAGAAGGGATTGGTGAAGAACTAGCTATCCATAATCGAGGGAAAGAGGGGTAAGAAATAGTAGATTCAATTCCTTTATCTCAGAACTCTGAAATGACTGATTGCAAACAAATTGCCCAATTTAAGCAAGCAGGAAGTTTTCCTGGTGAAACAAAGGATGTGAATACATACTTTGGTTTGTGAGTGAAGCTGTCTTGACATGGAGCAGGACCTGTCATTGAGAAAGCCACTGGGCGCGGTGAGCAGGAGGGTATGTGAGCAGAACCCCTTTAAGCCAGTCATACTCGCCACTGTGAATTCCTGTACGTCACCTGCTTTATTTATGTGGTCAGATGTGGCTCACAGTGGCAGTACTGGCCTAATAGGAATTACTTGGCCTTCTGAAAAGCCAGAATAGTTCAGATGCTCCAAAGGCAGAGCCAGTCGAGTGCCTAGATGTCAGATTTTCATATGGTTTGACAAGGGCCCAAGATGGAGCTATTCACCCTTGGCTTTTCAACCCTTCCTCTTTACTTTGGAATACAAAGAGAATGTATGTATTCATTTATGAACAAGATTCATTCCTTTTTCTTGGTGATTGAACTGTGGGGGGGGGGTTCAGTAAATTCCTTGGGACCTCAGGAAAGGCTAGGGAATAAAGTTACTGCAGAAAGTGCTGCATGGCTTCAGGTCGATACTCCCCACTCCTAACAATGAAGGAAACTGTTGATTTGTCCCTCATGTAGCCCAGGGTGCCCATCACCCCTGCCATTCACCAGCACAGTAGGTGTATGTGCAGCTCAGTGCCTTCATCAGTAAAAGTGGGTGTGGTACGTCTCCACCACATGGTTGTGAGGAGCTCATGAAAGAACGTATGTAATACATGTATTACTCACATATATATAATCTAAATGAAGCACTTTTCAGAGCACCTGTCACGTAAAAGCCTGCATTAAGTACAAATGCATCATTCAGGGTATTGATAACCTAAGTTACAATAAAGACAAATAGGGGATTTATTGGAGGAATCTTATTTCTGAATCAGGCTTTGTCATTATTTGAATGACCCTGAAAGCCAGCTCATATATTTTACAGTAAAAAGTGTGTAAATGGCTTTATAAGCTGGCGTAGCTGCCAGATCCAGGTCATGCTGTCTGAGTTAGGACACAAGGCAGAAGAGCCACAGCCACCTGGCGATGGCCAGGGTGAAGCAGAGGTGGAGTCAGGGTTATCCCAAGCATGGGCGGCTCTGACATTTGCTCCGAACCTCTCCACTCTGATTCAGCTCCAGTAACTCACAGCCCCAGCCTCTTCCCTTATGTACAGGGATCTAAAGCTTCAAAGGAACTGCCAGTGTGTGCTGCACATTATTGCTTCTCCGAGTGTTGATTATACAAGTTGGACAATGTTCACTCTGCTCAAGTTAATAGAGGTCTTATAAAAGTGAAGCGTGGTGCTGTTGAAGATAAGAGAGAGTTAATAAAATGTAGAGTGGAGAAGAAAACAAGATTAAAAAGGACATCTGCCCAGTGAGGACTTTTTAGGTGATAGAAAACCACGAAACTGGGTTAAGAAACAACTAATACCATGCCACTTTTATGCCATGCCTTTCTCTGTAGTATCTGAGGCTCTCCCCATACCCTCCTGATCCTGCAAATCTGATCGCATATTTCCAGGGCCGATCTAGTGATTTCTGTGCTCTGCTTCAGCTCTTCTTGCCTACCTTTCTCAGTACACATCTCTGTCTACTGCTTTTTCAACTCCTGCAGTCATAGTTAAGGAACCCAACCCCTGCTCTGGCTCTCACCTTGCTAGGCATGCGAAGCCTCTGAGAAAATGTCCCAGAGTTTGGGTAACAAGGCCACTTCTGTGCAGAGCGCTGAATTAAGAGTGTAGAATAGGTAGGTTACAGATACCTATGTCTTTCAGTCTCATTCCTAAAATGATTGTGATGCACAGCCGGGGATGATAATCACTAGACCACCGAATCAAAATAATACAGGCAAGGGGCCAGAGATGTGGCTCAGTGATACAGTGCCTGCCTGTCAAGTGCAAGGTCCTGAGTTCAATTCCCAGTACTGCAAAAAAAAATAACAACAATAATAATAACAATAACAACAACAACAATATAATATAGGCTAAGGGACCAAGGGTTTAGCTCATTGGCACCAAGCCTACCTAGCAAGAGCAAGGTCCTGAGTTGGATCCCTGGTACCGAAGGGAAAAAAAATACAGGTGAGTGCTAGACAACCAGTTGCAGGGTAAGTCCTTCCCAGCACACACAACTAGGGAGCCAACCTCAAAGTAAGTGGTGATAAGCTGTGTGCTTGTGCCAGTGTTGGAAAGAAGATAGAGGCATTATTTGATTAACTGTACATATGAATATTTAATTTCCAAAGTAGTGGAGGAAAAAATGGATTTTTTTAAATTAACCAGAAGAAAACATAATGGGAGTTAAACAGAACAAAGGCTGGGGATGTAGCTTAGTGATAGAGCACCCAGAAGTGGGTTGTCACCAAGTCTCTTTTTCAGGAGTAAAACTACAATTAATCTGTAAAATTACAAGTATAGCTACTTAGCTAATTTTGTTGTTGTTATTTGGTACCGGGGATCAAACTCGGCACCCTTGTGCTTGCGAGGCAGGTGGTGGAACCACTGAGCTAAATCCCCTGTCCTGCTTAGCTAATATTGGTCCAGCAGGGAAGCAGATCTCATAGCAAGGGTATGTGGAAAAAACAAAGGCATTTTGGGGAAGAGATGGGTCTGGATGTTCTGGTTACCCACCTGGGTTGATTGATGTATCTGACTTTACTGCACCAGCTGGTAACAAGTACAGTATAATTCCCAGTTACTGCTTATCCCTTAGGGAAGTATGGAGGCCTGGCCAGTACATCTTTATCTTGAGGCCTGACCTTCTTCAGATGCACCTCCAGTCACGATTCAGATGTCTCTGTTCTTTCCATTGACTTCCTTGAGACTCCAGTCCCTCCCTACTATATATTAATTTCTTTCTAACTTAGCTGCCTATAATAGCAGGACAAAGAGGAGCACACATTAAGATGGTAGATTCAAGACTAAATTTATTAGTTTTTTTTTTTCATTAAATGTAAGTAAACTTAAATGTTCCAGTTATAATATGTGATGCAGGAATGTTGAAAATAAAAATATGAAAAAAAAGATAAATGCAAATACCAATCAAAAGAAAGCTAATATAGCCATATTAATATTAGACAAAATAAACTTTCAGGCAAAAACATTACCAAATCTCTTAAAATAAACACATCAATTTATCTGGATAATACAACTATTTAAATTGGAAAACACTATTTAGCATTATCTACTGAAACTCCACATAGTCACTCCCTATAATTCAGCAGTTCTAGTTCTAACTTTATTCCCAACAGAAGTTTAGTTATATATATTTCCAAGAGACACCTGTAACAATATAAGTTTTTGAGAAACAGCTCAGAGATCCATCAATGTTATAATAGTTAAATGAGGAGGGATCTGTTTACACAATGGGATTCTGTCCAGCAGTGGTAATGAACATGAATAAATACAGTAACATAAAAACACAAAGGAGTAGATGCTGTGTGGTTCCATTTATACAAAGGTCAAAAGAGGCAAAGCCAGTGTGTCTGTTACGTCATTTTGTGAAAGAAGCCAGTCATAAAATAATATACATTGTATAACTGTATTACATCAAATTAAAAAATAAATGCACCTGGGCCGGGGATTTAGCTCAGCGGTTCGGTGGCCTGCCTTGCAAGTGCAAGGACCTGAGTTCAATCCCCGGTACCAAAAAAAAAAAAAAAAAAAAAGCAACTAAACTTTAATGTTGAAAAAACAAAAACATGAAAGAAAACAAGGAAATGAAGACCCAAGTCCTCCACAAGCTCATATCTGAGTGGGCTGCAGGAATTGGAGTACAAGTTAATAGGGCCGCCTGTAGGTTGGAAGCCACCTACTTCATGACCCAGCAATGACCACACGATCACTTGCTTTGTGGTGATTCATTTGCCTTGCCCATTTTATGCATTGTTTTATGTGTGTATCAGATTTTACAATAGAATTACAATCTTGGCCCTACCACCAACCTAGTTTCTTCATCTGTAGAGTAAAAACTTTAATATACTTCTCAGTGTTGTTGTGGGAATTAAATAAATAGGGGAATGCCTGGCATGTTTTATAAATGGGAGTTCCCTTTCTGCCACCCCCAGTTCTCTGCTTGTATTTCCTTCTCCCACCTGCTGTTGCTGATCACACCAAGGCAGGCCTTACTGGAAAGCTAAATGCTTTACCTCTTTAATTCCCTGCCAGCTCTTCAGGAATATTTTCCACACTACTGGAAAGTGGAGCGTGGGGTCATCTCCTTCTAGTCTTCCTAGATGGCTTTTCTTCCTTTACTGGGCCTTTCACCTTGGGAAGCTGGGACCTAGGCAGATGTCTTTTCCTGGGAGTGGTTCCAAGACTTAGCTAGCATTTTCTGCTGTCTCACAAAAGACACTACAGCCAGACTTAGGTTTCACCTGGTTCTTTGCTTTCCCTATTCAGATGTCTCTTATTAGGACACAGAACCAAATGGTAGCTCTCTCTTTGTAAACAGACTTCCTCTGACTTCTTGATTCTCTTGCCAGTCCCTCCACTGTTAGAAGAAGAAAAACCAAAAAACTAGGCATCAGTAGAAAGCAAAACTTAGGCATTGCCCTTGATTTCCTCTTTCCACTCATATCCTGTACCTCCAGTTGCTGCCTTTGTCACAAAATATTTTTAGCCCATCTTGTTTTGTCCAGCTCTTCCACTACCCCAGTGCAAACTACAGATGTCTTCTCTGCTCCCCATTTCATCTCCGTACCTCTTTTTTTTTTTTCACTGCTACATCAAATCCAGGACCTTGTGCATGCTGGGCAAGCAGCCTACCACTAAGCTAAATCCCTAGCCCTTTCTACTTTTTCTTTTGAGATGGGATCTCACTAAGTTGTCCTCAAACTTGTGATCCTCCTGCCTCAGCCTCCTGAGTAGCCAGAATTGCAGGCATGTACCACCACACACAGCTTTCTGTGCCTTCTCATGTGTCTTCCACTCAGCTACTGTAATGATTGTAGAAGTACAGACCATTTTTTATCTCTGCCAAAAGCCCTCCAATAGCACTTCCCATCAATGTTAAACTTCTTACCTTGGCAAGCCAGACTCTCTTCGAGCCTTCCCCGGCTCACTGAGCTCAACCTCGCTACACTTCTGTGTATTCCTGTCCCAGAAAACAGTAGTTTGTTAGCCAGGACTCAACTTAGATGCTATTCTCTGCAGTAGCCCCACTCCCTGTTTGGTTTTCTCTCTCTCTCTCTCTTTTTTTTTTTTTTTTTTTTTGGTACAGGGGATCGAACTTGGGCCTTTGCACTTGTGAAGCAGGTGGTGGAACCACTGAGCCAAATACCCGGCCCTTGGTTTTCTTTGCTGATACATTTTCTTTTATCCATCTGCCACCCAGGAAAAACCAGCATAAAGCATCACCATAATGTCTCCATCCAGGCGTCAGTCAGCAAAGTTAGTCAAAATACCTGTCTCAGTAGAGCACTTGCATGCACAAGGCCCTGGGTTCCATCCCCAGCAACACACACACACACACACACACTCACTCTCTCTCTCTCTCTCTCTCTCTCTCTGTTCCAGAAACAGCAAGGAATTGCTGCTTTTTCTCTGAGTCCCAGCCTCCCAGGCCATGCAGCATTTCAGGACCAGTGCCAGCAGCCTGCACTTGGGCATTGAGCAGAGCTCTTCCAACCTGTAACAGATCTCACAGGTTTTCTGGTTGGGTTTCTCACCAGCAGCACAGCTTTTTAACAATGCCAGGTCAGAAGGCCAGCACCCTGGGGAAGTAATTGATGCATAGAAAAGGATGGGCTTGGTCTTAGTAGCTGCTATCAATTGAAGGTCATAGAGCTTGATGACTAGAAACCAGGTGCTTTTGTGACTCAGAGTGGCATGAAGGACCAGAGAAGGTAATTTTCTTTTTCGATGAGTCCATCCCTATACCCTGCAAGAATCCCTTTTCCAGAACCATCACATCCTTGAGGCGATGTAAGACGGAAGCAATGGAAGAGAAACTGAATTAAAGCCAGCACCCTTTGAGTGTGGCCCTGGAAATATTTGCAAGTTAGGTCTTAGGGCAAGAGGGTGGGGATGCCTGTGCGGTGATGGGCAGTTATTTCTTTCTGTTATGTTCCTCTGGGCAAAAAATACCTTGTCTCATTCCATCTATTCTCAAGCTTTATTCTCCCTCTGAGTGCTCCACCTGGAGCAGTTTGATAGGCACCCAGCCTAAAGGCTTCTCAGTTACCTGTGCATGCATTGCCCTGCACCTCCTCAAGATCCCTCTGACCTGGCCATTGTGGAGGAAGTCTGTCAAGGTTGCTCAAGCCACGTGATGGATCTTTGGGAGGTCACCCCCCTCATTGTGCCCCCTGCCTTCCCCTTGTCCTTCTCTTCCCTGTCTCCTTCCCTCCTCGTTGTTCTAGATTTCAGAAAACTTGTGTCAGAAAACTAATTTGTGTTGAAAGATCCAAAAGATGTCAGAGCCTGACCTGGTTTGAAATGGAAAGTCTAGAAAATCTCTTAGGTTCTTGATTTTTTTTTTTTTTTTTTTTTTACCATATTTTGTTAATAAAAATCTAGATGCTAGGGCCGGGATTTGGCTCAGTGGTTCCGCTGCCTGCCTCGCAAGAACAGGGTCCCAAGTCCAATCCCCAGTACCAAAATAATAAAAATAAAAACTGAGGTCCTACTTCTTAAATAGGCCATGAAAGACAGCAGTAGTGGGAAAGGATGATGCCCCCCCATCTCAGGCTTCCCTGTAGACTGGGCTTAATCAGGTGGAGTCCCCAGTTGGGCTGGGACAGGCCAGAAAAACACCAAGAAAGAAAAAGAGCAAGATCCATGATTCCCATGACACTTGTCAGCTGGCAGGTGTGCTCTGGGACAGTGACCCAGTGAAAGTGCCCTGAATATTCATTCGTTAGGCCCAGTTGAGATAAACAACACTGCTGTGGCTTTGAAGGCAGCGTCCCCAGCCAGCTGCTCCTCTTCCTAGGCATCTGCTGTGGATGTCACCAGCTCCTCCTCTGGGTTTGAGACCCCACCTGTGATGTAGTCAAGTCAGAAATGGGAGGCACAAACCCCGCATGCTAGAACACTCATATAGCTGCCTTTTTGTTTTATTATTCACAAAGCACTTGTCACAGAGTTTCATTGTATTAAAAGAGGGTTATTGAAATTTTTATTACTGTTTAACAGGAAAAAAAAATTACAAACAGAAAATTAAGTATCTTTCCCAAAGGCACAAATAGGAAAGGCCAGAACCACTGTCATCCCCAGCACTTTTGCTGTCTTGGCATGGGGAGTCCGTGTCCGCTTGAAATTTTGTTTGTGGCCAGCTCTTGGCTGTAAGCCAAGGCTGTCATAAGGTTCCTGTTAGCAACTGCCCATGGCTGGGAATGGGTGAATAAAGTCACCAGCCCTGCCTTGACGGCCTTTGTCTTGGTTGCCCTTGAGAATTCAGTTGCATCATGCACATGTACCCCTCATGCCTTCCCTGAGCCCTAATCCTGCCTGCACCTGCTTACTTAGTGTCTGTCCTGTGCTTTACTCTTGATGGTCTCAAGGTCAGCTGGACCCAGCACAGCTGCTGGGAGGCCTTTATTCATGTTCAGTGAGCATTTTGATTTAAACATCATACACACTCTTCTTTAAAAGAAAGCCAGTCAGCTGGGTGTGGTGGCTGATGCCTATAATCTCAGCACTCAGGAGGCTGAGGCAGGAGGATTATTGTGAGTTCGATGCCAGCCTGGGCTAGATAGTGAGTTCAAGGCCAACCTGAACTGCATAGTGAGACCCTGTCTCAAAAAACCAAAAAAATAAAAAGATAATAGAGGGCTGGGGATTTAGCTCAGTGGTTCCCCCACCTGCCTTGTAAGCGCAGGGACTCGAGTTCGATCCCCAGTGCCAAAAAAAAAAGATAATAGAAAGTCAGCCAAAAGGACCACAAGTCTCAGAACCTCATGCTCCCTGCTGGAGAGCACCAAGCTTCACCTCTCTTTTCCCCTGGCTCTCCAGAAGTTGCATCATCCTGCCATCAGGACCCTGACCCCCATGTCTCGAGCTGCCCTGAGGCCCAGGGAGCCAAGGTGGAGGGGTGTGCCCCAACTTGAGAATCTTGGTCTGTTGGGGATAGGTGGAAGTGAACTACTCTGTTGTATGTCTACCCCTCCTCACCCCAGGCCCCCCGTTTTCTCTCTATCAAAAGAGATCATCAGTGTCTGCCATGTCCTTCTGAGGAAATCTGAAAATTGTCTGTATTTACTTGCTAAACCTGCAGCTCTTGCTCTGAAGGCTTGTATCAACCAGAAGGCAACTCTGCCCTGTGTTCTCAGCCATTCTTGCCTCAGTGACAGTTTTGACACAGCAGCTTAGCTCCTGATACAGATGGGTGGTAGTTTCTAGTTGCTCATAATACACATTAACTGCCATTTTATTGAGTATTTGCTGTGTTGCAAGCATTGTGAGTATATGATTCCATTTAATGCTCGGAGTAGAGAGAATTTTTTTTTTCTTTTTCAGATCAGGAAACAGAATTGCTAAGACTGTATGGCTTGCCCACAGTCACTCAGCCAACCAGCGGTAGGATTTGCAGTGAGCACCCCAGTCTCAGAGCCTGTGTTTTCTGGCCAGCCCTTGGTATATAGGCATAGGGTTAATAGCTTCAGGGTTGGCTGGCAAGCAGGTAGGATCATGTGTGCCTCACAGAGTGCTATTCAGAGGGAAATTGAGGCTGGAACACAGCAAAGGAACACCATTTCCTGAACCTGGTAACATTCTCACTGTAAATGTAATAATCTTATAGAACATTTTCCACGGTGCAACAAAAGAAAAATTAGTGCAGAGATTCAATTATGTCTCCCATTTTCAATGGCAATTTTGCTCTCTCAAAAGATAAATTAGCACGGAGACCTTCCCCCAGGCAAATTGCAGAGCACTTTATGGCAAGAAGGTGCATTAAAATGCAGCTGTTTCTCATTAAGCATCGGGCTTAGATCCTTGCTTGCTTTGGTCTGCCCCCACATCCCATGCCTTGGAGGACCATGGGAGGCCTTGTTTGCTGACAGCCCAGATTGGGAGCAGAACAGCTCCCAATTGGAGCTTGGCGACCCTGTATACAGCATTTGATCTTGTTCTTTGGGGTTCAGGGCAGGGCCTCTGGTCATCCCAGCAGAAGCAACCTGACCCTCAGTGGATGGCTAACACCAAGGAGAACGGAGAAGGGAAGAGCTAAGAGCAGTTAAATAGCCTCTGAAGGTGTGCTTCTAAGTAGTTTGCTTCACCCTCACAGCAGCCCTTGAGGTCGTTTCTCTATCCGTTTTTCTTCTAATTTTTTTCTTCCATTTTCACCTTTGGCATTTTGGGGTATTCACAGGATGCGTAGCTTTCTCCCACTCACCCCCATTCAACACATGGCCAATGGTGGGAAACAAGGCATAGTTGTGTTGCTCTGGGGAAAAGCAAAGCCAGTCCTCCCCCAGCATTGCCCGCCAGATGTGTAACCCAGTTAGGGTTGAACTCTAAGCTTCTATCATTTTTTTTCTTCATAAAGTCTTGTTACTAAATTTCAACATTTCTATCACCAAACCCCCAATATACTTTCCCTTGATAGGCTGTTGCTGTGTCCTTTTCATTTCCTTTCATTCACATCTGAACCAGCATGGTCCTTGGAACTCTGTAAGGACCAGATGGGTGTGGTTGGCTCTTAGTGACACTGGCCAGCCAGGGTGGCCACTCTGGCCACCAGCTGGGCTCATTGGCTTGCATTTGATGTAGCCAGTTTCATTCCCGGGGCAGGGGACAGTGCCAGGAAGGCCCTTTGTCCTACTGGATTCTATTGACCAATGCTTTTTTTTTATCTTCTTCTAGGTACATTGAACGGAAAGCTTTTCTAGAGCGTGTTGACCACAGGCAGTTTGAAATTGAGCGAGATCTCAGGCTGAGCAAAATGAAACCTTGATGTTCAGGGGAGAATCATTAACGGCTCTATCCTGTTGACAATGTGAGCTTTCTGTACATCTGTGAAACTCTTCCAGTGTCCTCCTCCACTGTTGCCCAGCAGTCTTTTTTCTATATGAAGTTTTGTTTATGTATCTTGATCTCACATCGTTTCATTCATTTTATTTTTAAAATTTTGTCTTTAAATAAGTAAATAAAGTCAGTCCTCAACAAGGCTGGAGAAAATAAAGACCTTATTTGCTTTCCCTTTATCCTACAAAGTCGAGCCAGCACATCCCAGGCCAGCTGGGAAGGCAGAGGTCTGGCTGTGACGGTGGAGAGAGCTGCCTGGCTGGGTTGGAGCCTTCTCGGGCCTCAGCACTCCTGAGTGAGCCCTGTGCAAAGACAGGGAGAAGGAGGCTCACCAGGGTGCATGAGGTCAGGTCCCTGGGTGTTGTCGCGGTTCTGTTCAGGCTTCTCTGTGGAACTGTGTCTCCTGAATGAGATTCCTATTGATGTCATGTAAGGCTGAAAGTGAAGATATATTGTTTCTGAATAGGGTCCCCACTTCTGCTTTCTTCTTCTTTTCTTTCCAAAGAAAAGTCAATGTCAGGTGTGTTATCATCTAATTCTTTAATTGTGGCTTGTCAGAGAATATTCTAGAGGCTGGGGATTTAACTTGGTGGTTCTGCTGCCTGCCTCGAAAGCACGAGGACCCAAGTTCAATCCCCAG